TTCGCCATTTCCAGAACTCAATTTTCAAAATCCCATCGGATCCGATAAGATAAAAACTTATATCAACGATGGTCTTCAATCGCGACATAGTGGTATGTATTTTTGACTATTTCCAGAATTCAATTTTCAAAATCTCATTGGATCTGATCGGACAAAAATTTATATCAACAATGAGCTCCAAGCGAGATATGTAGAGACACACTTTTGACAATTTCTAGAACTCAATTTTCAAAATCCGATCGGATCCTATAGGATAGAAACTTATATCAATGCTAACCTTGAATAGAAGTATGTAGGTATGCCTTTTTGGCCTTTTCCAGAAGTCAATTTTCAGAATCCGATCGGATCCTATAGGATAGAAACTTATATCAATGCTAACCTTGAAGAGAAGTATGTAGGTATGGCTTTTGGACCATTTCCAGAATTCACTTTTCAAAATCCGGTCGGATCCTACAGGATAGAAACTAATATGAATGGTAAGCTGAAATACAGATATATAGGTATGCCTTTTTGGCTTTTCCAGAAGTCAATTTTCAGAATCCGGTCGGATCCTATAGGATAGAAGCTTACATTAATGCTAAGCTTCAATTGAAATATATAGGTACGCCTTTTTGGCCATTTCCAAAACTGAATTTTCAAAATCCGATCGGATCCTATAAGATACATACTTATATGAATGCTTAGCTTTAATAGTTATATGTAGGTATGCCTTTTGACCACTTCCAGATTTAATTTTCAAAATCCGAGCGGATCCTATAGGACACAAGCTTATACGAATGGTAAGCTCCAATGGAAATATATGCGTATGCCTTTTTCATCACTTCCACGATTCAATTTTCAAAATCCGATCGGATCCTATAGGATACATACTTACATCAATGCTAAGCTTTAATAGTTATATTATGTATGCCTTTTGACCACTTCCAGACTTAATTTTCAAAATCCTATCGGATCCTATAGGATAGAAGCTTATATCAATGGTAAGCTCCAATAGAGATATGTGGATATGCCTTTTTCATCACTTCCAGGACTCAATTTTCAAAATCCGATAGGATCCTACAGGATAGATAGTTATATCAATGCTTGGTTCCAATCGAGATATGTAGGTATACATCTTTGGCCAGTTCCAGAGGTCAATTTTCAAAATCCGATCGGATCCGATAGGATAGAAACTTAGATCAATGCTAAGATTGAATACAGATATGTAGGTATACCTTTTCGGCCATTTGCAGAACTCAGTTTTCAGAATCCAATCGGATCCTGTAGGATAGATACTTATATTGATGCTTAGCTTTAATAGTTATATGTAGGTATGGCTTTTTGATCACTTCGAGAACTTAATTTTCAAAATCTGATCGGATCCTATAGGGTAGAAACTTATATTAATGCTAAGCTCCAATTGAAATATATAGGTACGCCTTTTTGGCCATTTCCAGATCTGAATTTTCAAAGTCCGATCGGATCCTATAGGGTAGAAACCTATATCAAAGATAAAGTCCAATGGTGATATGGAAGTTTGGATTTTTCGGCATTTCGAAAACTCAATTTTCAAAATCCGATCGGATTCTATAGGATAGAAGCTTATAGCAGTGCTAAGCTCGAATGGAGATACGTAGATGTACATTTTTGCCATTTCCAGAACTCAGTTTTCAAAATCCCCATCGGATCCAAATGGTAGAAACTTATATTAATGATAAGCTCCAAGCGAGATATGAAGGTAGGCATATTTGCTCATTTCCAGAACTGAATTTTCAAAATCCGATGTGATCCAATAGGATAGTAACTTATATCAGTGCTAAGCTCGAATGGAGATATCTAGGTATACATTTGTTGCCATTTCGAGAAATGAAATAATTTAACTGAATTCAATGTCATATTCAGACCTTTTTAAACAGTTTCGAAACTAAAAATTTTCTGTTTTATGAATTTATAAATATACTGAAAAGATTCTACGTTTGAAACGATTTTTGTCACAACGGATAACGACATGTTGTTTTAGTGTATATTTTGGTCAATTGGACAGAAACATAGAATCGAACTTACTACTTCTGTACTTCAGCACTTCTTTTAGTTCGTACTTCATAGAAACCTGTGTGCTCATGTTGAAAGCAGACAGTTTGTTGTTATCAGGTCAACAAGCTTTCTCGTGGGTAGCCGCATTTTATAAGTTCCTTGATCAAGGCATTATATACTAGAAAAAATAACTATTCTGCTGCACCTTAATCCAAAACCTATATTAAACACACTACGTTTCAGTGGCTATAAATCATGAAACTTTCCGGCTCACATAAGGTAAAATTTAGATTCCAAACATTATCATAATAAATAAAATCGACCACAGATTCAAAGATTGATGGAATCCTATAGAAATCCGATGGGTATCCGACCGTCGGAATAAATGGGGATTTCAACAATCGGAAGTTATCGGAAGCGTATGAGTATGCGATTGTCGGATCCGATCGAAATTCTGCAAGCCGGATTCCGATCGGATTTTTGTCGGATTTTTTGGACCTCGGTTGAAAGATTGATATAATCCTATAGAAATCCGATCGGTATCCGACCGTCGGAATAAATGGGGATTTCGACAATCGGAAATTATCGGAAACGTATGAGTATCCGATTGTCGGATCCGATCGGAATTCTGTAACCCGGATTCCGATCGGATTTTTGTCGGTTTTCGGGTCCGATCGGATCCGTCGTCAGATTTTTGGACCTGGGTTCAGAATGCAATTTCTTTTTTTTTTCTTATCTTTATTTGATTATTTCTATGCCTTAGACGCAAACATGTATGCGTGTGTATATGTCTTTCTCATGTATTTTTTATACCTCGCTTTTTTCTTCTTTTCTTTGCAATCAAAAATACAACACATGCAGTCTTTTTTATGAACAAATGAAACATTTGGCTAGAAATATTTCTTAGAACTCTGGGAAATAGTTGTCAAATCATTACAATTCATTTTTAAGTTGATTCTTTTGATAGTAATGTTATGAATAGCAGTAATTTATGTTTGATTGATTGGTAGAAGTATAAATGTCCTGTGTCTATTCTCATGAGCAGTATGGCTAAGATCCTAGTAGAGCAGATTTAGTCGCTTTTAGATTCAGGAAAGATATATTTCTTGATTAAATAGAAAAAAGAAAATTATAGAAGTACAAAAACTTTAACACATAAATTGAGGTAATGTAGTTTAAATCAACAAGCATTTCATAATTGTTTCGTTTTATTATTTATCTCCTGGTACTTGTACTTGATTTTCTAATTGTTCATTACGTTGTTGATTCAATTGATCAGTTAACCTTTTATTTTCAGCAAGTACGACACGTAATAAATTTTTTAAATCATCGTTTGAATAATTATTTGCGTCGATATCATTAATATCTAACGTTGCACTGAGATATAATGTTTGACTTAGAACCAAAGTTTGACTTGGAGATATTGTTGCAATAGCAGCTGATGCTTCACTTAAATTTACTGTTTGACTTAGAGCTGATGTTTGATTTGTAGGAAGTGTTACAACAGCAGCTAATGCTTCTCTTAAATTTGATGCTTGATTTGGAGGTGTTTCATGTACAGCTGATGCATCAATAACAGTTGATGTATACCCTAGAGAAAGTACTGAGTTTAGGGTACCCATGTACTGAGAAAGCCTTAGCAGGGTACCCGGTATGGGTACTTCGAAAATTTTCAGTAATTATACTGACGTAGGTGCTGCATTGGGTACCCATTGCAGTATGTTTACTGAACAAGTGCTTGCATGAGTACCCGCACCTGTAATTTTACTAGGAAAAGCTCTACAGGGTACCCTAGATTTGTTGCGTTCTGTGTAGCAACTGTTCATTCACCGTTTTCTTTTGCATATACGGCTTCATATAAGCAACTCGAGGAAGCATAAGAAAAAAATCTTTTTTCATACTAATTTTTTCTAGATTATTTTTCTTGACTATTTACTAGTCGAGGACATGCTAATCTCAATCATAGATTGAGAGAGGACTACCTTGAAGTGGTCTGATGGAGATCCGACCAATTCGCGTCCGGTCAGATCTCGAAATTTGACCTGCTTGGCTTTTCAGAATTAGCAAAATAAAATAAAATAAAATCGAGAAAATATCATAAATTGCTTTGAGAGAAACAAAAATGAAAAAAAGCCAGAGGTTAGTTTCGATCATCAACATACTGCAAGTTTGGCAACAGGGTACCCAAATTACTGAACAATAGTACCCAGTTGGGTACTTGATCAGTACCTTCAAGTACCCATTTACTGGATACTTTCCAGCAGGGTATTTGGTCGAGTACCTTATAGGTACCTAAAAGTACTTTAAGGTACTTTAGTACCCGAAAGTTCCTGTGACATACTAGTAGCAGGGTACTTTTTCGGGTACCCTTAGCTCAGTACATTCACTAGGGTAACTGAGTATATTAGTTGAAGTCGATGATAATGCTTCAGTGGTTGTAATTGCTTCTTTCTAAAACAAAAACATTTTTCAAAGTGAGTTAATGAATGAAATTGTTGAAAAACTTGAAACAAGATTAAGTCATCTTTTTTGACTCAACTTTGAATGCTCCAGTTATACGATCGCGTAATTGAACAACACAAGCTACAAATCAATGGAGAATGAATGGAAAGATGTCGCTCGAAGAAGTTTACTATTACAAGACAATACACTAGATTTATTAAATATCCAACTGATTATGAGTTTTTGGTTCAACTTACTACTTCGATTTCTTCGATTTCTTCAAGGCAGCTATTGATATGATATATTTTACACATTGTTTTTTTTCCTTCTATTATGAATACAACTCACTGCTTATATAGGATGAATCTGCCGTCTCTATCGGCCGTGAAAGAATAAATATTTTCTTTAACGGTCAACTAATGCCATAGAAAAGAAAATTTTTTATAGTCATTGTTCACTCATTCTTCCGTCTAATTGGAAATTAGACGACGCACATCATTTCTAAATGATATTAAATTAAACAAAGTAACACTTATAATATCTTCAGTTTCATTATCATTTTTATCTCCCTCTTGTGTTTCTTTCATGAATGGTTTACATTCTGAGGTGTCGTTTCAATTGGTGATATCAATCATTGGCATGAATCAGATGTCATCAAACAACAACAAAAAATTTCGGAATATTTCGGAATCGAAGCTGCAATCCGAAAAAGTTTCTTCTCGAAGTTGCAGTTGGAATCGAAACAGAACAAAAAAAAAATTTTGGGGTCGGAGCCGGGTTTCGGAATTAAAAAGTGTCATTCCGCTGATCACCAGGCTTCGTAGCGGTCCATCCCGGATATATAGGAAAATATAGGATTTTAAAAGTGGCATTTTTATAGGATTTCAATAAAAATATAGGAAAAATATAGGATGGTTTTTTCTTCAGTAAGAAGCTTTTTAAGAGGTTTGCCATACATTACTGTGTCCCGAGATCGTACACAGCTCTCAGTTAAAGTTTCAGCAAATCAAAAACACAAGCATCTTTCAATTCCTAAAAAAGAGATTCAACAAAGTTCGATCCAAGAAAGGTTAAATCTGTTTGTTTTATTAACAACTGTTGACTAATATCTTTACAAAAAAAATATGAAATAGAAATAACAAAAATGTATTCAAAAAAACTTGGAACTATTCGTATAAACAACTTGTATCATCTGTTTTTCATGCTTATCGACATTAAACACATTTAAAAACTGTATAAACAATTATATACAAAAAATATAAATGAATGAGAGAAAAAAAATACTTTAATTAAGACTGATTGTTAGTTAAATCAACTACAACTCTTTGTTTCTTTTGTTGTTGTTGTTTAGCAAATGCATCTTTTCTTTTTTTTTGAATATTTATTAAGTCCTCTGTGACTTTAAACAATTCATCACCAATAATTTTGCTTCTATTATTGCCGCCATCAATCAATATTGAAGCTTTGTCAATATCAACACAATCTTTTTTTTAAATGTCTGTTGCAAACGTGCACTAGCATCAGCAATTATTAAATTAGCTTCTTGTTGTTGTCGCTGTAACTTCTTTTGTTTAACTAACAGATCTTCTTCTTGTTTTAACACCTGTTTGTACATTTCATTGATATTTTCTTGTTCTTCTCTTTCTTTTTCGATTCGTTCTGCAGCTGCTTTAGCAACTGCCAATTCTTCTCTATAAAAAGAATAAGAATTTTGAACAGCTTTAAGAAGTTCTTTGTCAATTGGTACCTAAATATAGAAAATAAAACGTAATTTGACGAAAACAAATAAATGAATACATGCTTTATGAACGCAATCACCACCAGCACATTTAACAGCATCATATGTGGTACGTAGTCCATTAATTGACAGTTCAGCTAATAATGATCGATTTGAAACAATAATGTTTTCATTAATGGAAAAACTACGTTCAACATCGGCATTCCCATGAGAAATAATAAGAATATTTTTCACAAGTTTTGATAATGTAGGATACTTTGGACGACCATCTGTTGTAGTTATCGACAAAACATTATTCCAGTAAAAATCAATTCTTTGATAAGTAATATTATCATTACCAGTTGAATCTTTAACTACACTTTTTATTATCCATTTTTCATCAATAGTTTCAATCGAATAAGTTAACCATTCATCACGTAAATGATCAATTTCACGGTCTGTTAATAACTGTGGAATAGTACGTGCAACACGAATAATTTGATCAGCATTTTGTACACCTTTCAAGGAATGGTGCAAAATTTTTATATCACGTAAAAATTGATTTTTTAGTGGTAAATTTAATTTGAAATATTGTGCAATTCCATGATATATCTTTCGAACATCATTAAAAAATGTTTCACGCTCTTGTTGTGTAAGAATATTCAACTGTTTACGAACTCTTTCACCTATAATAGAAAAAGATCAGTAAATAAAAAAGATGGAGTACCAGTTTTCAATGATACCAATTCGGATCTGTTTGTTGTTCAGTTGTTTCTCATTTAACTTGAAATATAGATCTAAAAGATCACTACCAGATTTACCAGCAACATAATCAGATTTTAAGAATCGCAACAAAACCAAATGGAATAATTCAGATAATTCATGATGAAGAAGGTGAATAAGCGGTCCCTCCTGCTGAAACCAAGTTAAAAAGCGATCAAAAATATTTTCACACAAGAACAGTACAAATTGTAATCGGATCTTAGCTACATTTGATGTTAAATTTGACTTAATTTTCTCATATTTATCGTTTTTATATATCTGTGTTTTCTGAGCAATTGGTAAAAAATTGAAGAAGTATTCGTTTAAAGGTTCCCATAAGACTAGAAATAACCGAATATAATATTTTAATGCAAAAGTGGAAGACAACAAATTGTCGATAAGCCTACTCAACACACGTTCAATAACTTTACCAAGAAGAATCCAACGTGTGATTGTGAAATAGAGCAATGTTTTTTCAACCAAATTATCAAATTCATCAATTATATCGATCAAATCTTCTGTTCTTGCAGGAGACTGTTTAAACCACGAATAAATCTCTGTACAGATATTTTCCACATGCCAGTTTGCCGATGATATACCTAAAGTAAGAGATAAAGTAATAAATAATCTTGTCGTCACAAGGAGACATGTACAATCACCTGTCTTGAAGCCGTTATGTACCAAGTGAAGGTTACATGAACCTAATAATAATAAACCACCTTCCATCTTCTTCATTTCTTGATCAATTAAATTCTCCAGAGAAATATTAACAGATGGATTATCACGTCCTAACATTAACAATCGCTTTAAATCAATACCATCTGTTTTGAAACAATTAATAATAGCATCTTGAAGAACATTCGCCTGGGCATGACCCAGCAAGATGGACTTGAAATAACGTGTGACTACAAGACCTTCATCATATGACCAAAATTTAACTAATAGATCTAGTTGTTTTTTATTTTGAACATTTGTTTGTTCATCAATACATAGCACAAACTTCTCACAACGTTTCAACTGTTTAATTAAATCTCGATGAAAATATGGACCAATTCCATGAGAAATCACGTAAGAAATTTTTTTTGATTGCATGTTAAATTGCTCAGCAATTTTAGAGTCGGGAAACATAGATCTAAATACATCACCAATATTATTACATGAATTGTAAGTAAAACCTCGTCGTGCTACTGTTAATGCCCAAAGAGTTTCAGCTTTTGTAATCTGTTGGTCGAAATTTAACATCGGCGACTTTCGAACATCATCAAGTCGTAATGAACTTGTTTCAAGAATATCATTAGTTGATAATGGTTGAGATTTTGATGATTGAGTAACAAATTTTAAATTATTTTTTAATGCTTTTATTTTTTCGACATGATTTTTTGTCTTCATATGTTGATAAATTGCACTCCAACCTTGATTTGCACATTCACGATCACCGGTTTTGCACAATACGCACTGAAATGTTGTGCCTTGTTTTAGCCATTGACATACTTGATTTCCATCATCATCTGTTCGTTGTAGCCAAGCTTTGTTAAACTTGGTGTCTTTTGGCATCAAATTATATATATACAAATAAAATTCACAATTTAAAACAAATCTAGATCAACAAAATAGTTCTAAACTTTTAATAAAGGTAAGTATTTAATCTACAAGAAAATATTACATAAACTTGTGTAAAATTCAATACGAAGTTTCTTAAATCAGTCATCTTCCATAAGATGATTGAAATGAGAAGGAACCAATCCTAATAGAGAATATATCTATACACGATAAAATATGTATATACTATCGCTAGTTGCTATTCATTTTACTATAGAAGTTATGACAATATATACCGAAGCATGTATGTTTTTTTTGATTGAAATATATTTTATTTTAAAAGAATTTTGACTTTTTTCAAATATATAGGAAATATAGGAAAATTATTGAAAAATAGGACATTATAGGACGATTTCTAAAGATATAGGAAATATAGGAAATATAGGACGACTACGAAGCCTGATTAGTAATACAATAGCGTATGTGGAAATTGTCTAAGAGAGGTCCCAAATTTTTAAGAAGTAGGTTCATGTCTAGTTTTTTTAAAAGAATTGTGCTACATGAAACTTTCCTTTGAGGAAGGAGTCCAGACTAGAGTTCTGAAGGACAAGCTTTTCTGTGTCTCAAATCTCAATTGCCTCATAGTGAATTTTTTTTCAAATTGTTCCAGTCACGATTGTCGCATCTCAGAAATTTCTGGGACAATCTCATTTTCTCCACGGGACGAGACAAATGAAATTTTTCGGAATTCGGGACTGTCTCACAGAACTTCAGTCCGGATCGATTTCTTTAGTACGCTACTGACTAGTAGTATAGCTTTCTAAAGTGTTCGCGTTTACTAGATGTATATTAGCTTGTTATCAACATCAACATCGTTTAATATATATCTGAGCTACTAATTAATATCATTTCAGTTTGTTTCTTGTACAAATAAAACGAACTGAAAGAAAGAGAACACTTTTTTTTACTAGGTAATATGTGTTTTTGGCGCAACTAGTAAGTAATGATCATCTGCGGTTGTTGATAGGAAGATATATGGCAATGTATTATATTTTCTATCATCATCTGTCATTATCAGTTAAAGAATGTCATGGCTCAAGAAAGTCAGGATTTGTGATCAATATGACTGAAATCTCTGATGAGGGAAAATTATACAATGTAGGACACTTTTTGAACTGATTGAATAGTATTAATTGTGGTACGCATGTTCACAAAAGTATTCCTACCTCTAGAACACGTCTCGATTTTGATGCTTCGACTTGAAACTTTGCATGAATAACGCATATGCCTAGACCAAAAATAAAGAAAACTTAGCGACTCCAAGTATCATAATCATAATCAGTGTATTTTTTAACTTGTTGCAAGTTAATTTCACCATCTTACAATATTCTTCTTTCTGAACAACTTTATTTTCAACGACTTGAACTAGAGTCGTTGTCTTCACTGGTAAAAGTACGAACTATTTACGTTTGCATTCAATATAGAATGGTTTTCCTTGTCAAAAAGATTACAGAATCAAATCAGACTTTGGAAAACTCACTCAAGATTTTTGCTTCGCGAAAAACTAACATCTGTATTAGCGTAATCATCAAAAAGGATCTTTCGAATCACATTTATCGCAAATGACGACGAGTTCAATGGAACAACATGCCAAAATATCCGTAGTACCAAAATAATAAATTGAAGAAACGTATCAATTTGCTGTTTACTGTTTTGTATCATAGACCACATTTTACGTTCCATCAATACTATCCAAAATGTATTGAGTATTCTTGTCAAAGCAAACATACAAACTTGTATTAGAATAATCGCAATAGTTGCTGTGACATGAACATTTGCAATCATTTGAACGAAATGTTGGTATAACTCGAAATATATACCACCATACAATTATTTCATAGATATAATACGACATAAAATAAATGTGATTACGTATACATAAGTCAACAAATCACGAGAACGAATTCGAGATTGATTGAAATAGTTGAGAGTTCTTTGTCAAGAAGAAGAAAATAACATGAATGATCAATACCTGTATACAGTGCTATAAAGGATATGCGCATCCGATCATGAAAAGACCCTATTGAGATGTCAATATGAATTAATTTCTATTAGAAATTATGAATTGATTAATAGTGAATTTTTTTAAAATAGATTTTTAAAAAAATGATATCGATATCCATCGTTTCGAAATTCACTCGTGTCGTGCTTAGCAAAAGTCTACACTCCAACGCTGAAAATATTCATGATTGAGATTACTAAGCTATGATTAGATAATGCAAATTCACTTAAGAAAATAAAACTTTTCAGTAATAATGGATCGCGTTCAAAAATAGAACATTGAAGAATGCCTTTCCACTTTTTCGAAAGGCAGTGCGAATCGTTCCTACTCAAAGTGATGGATAATGAAAGAAACCTTTTCTTCTTTCTTATTTGACGCTTTTTTTAAAACTCTTTACTTTTCCCTAGATTCAAACTCATGACTCTTTGTGTAAGACTATCACATTATCCGCTATATTAATTTGACTGTTAAAATGTAAAGCAAATATATTATCTAAATTGAATAAAAGAACAGACAAAACGAAAACATTTTCTATGTAACATATTATTTAAAATGCTTTCTTGGATTTAAATTTTGGTTGACAGATGATTATGATTAGTATTTTAATTTTACTTTTTATGAAATGAAGATAAAAAATATGTTTAACAATAACAAAAAAAAAAATAAATGTACATTCTTCTTTTTGTTTTTTTTAATCATTTCGTTTTCTTTATTTTGTGGAAAAGACATGATTTATCTTCATTCTCTTCTTTACCTTAACTTTCTAATAATTAAAACATTATTTTTCCTAATTGTTTAAATATGAATATATTTATACTTCAAAGCTGTAGAAAACAAAAAAAGATTTTGATTTTTAAAAAATTAAGATAAAAAAGAGAAAAATGAAAAATTATGTGTAACAGAATGTTTAGTAAAAGGAGACTTTTGAAATTATGTAATAATTAGTAAAAGATATGATACAAGCATGTTATCTTATATTTCCTGCTTCTCTATGAACTTCCTCTTTACAAACTATTTTTGTTTTGCTTCAGCTAATTTCATCTTTTTCTTTATTTCTACGGATAACAACGTCTGTCAGGATCCTAACAAAACAGTCGTGCAAAAAAGGACCTGTCTCTCGTAGTTTCTTAGGACGCTGTGAGCTATGAATTTTGCGAAAAAAAAAGTGATCATAATTGTATTATATATTTCGAAAATCAATTTGTAATTCACAAGAAGGAAATAGACAATTTAGAGAATGAGAAAGGACACCCTCTGTTCTTTCCAAGAATGATGTTAAATCATCTAGAATGTGTTCATTATTTCGAAGTTCATTCTTAGATATTTTAACTATTCGAAAAAAAGAATGAAAAATGAGTCATTCGAATAGATAATTGAACGTTTCAGAAAGCGTTCTATTCAAATACAGAATGCATT